CTATACAATGGAATTACAAAAAAGAATTCGATCATGGATTAAAAAAAAAAAATCACAAATTTTCAAAAAATTCAATCATGGATTACATAAAATTCGATCATGGATTACATAAAATTCGATCATGGATTACATAAAATTCGATCATGGATTACATAAAATTCAATCATGGATTACAAAAAAAAAAAACAAAAAAAACAAAAAATTCAATCATGGATTACAAAAAAAGAAAAAAACAGTTCGATCATGGATTACAAAAAAATCAATCATGGATTACAAAAAAAAAACAAACATTTCGATCATGGATTACAAAAAAAAACAAACATTTCGATCATGTATTACAAAACATTCGATCATGGATTACAAAAAATTCTATCATGGGTTACAAAAAAAAACAAAAAAAGCGATCATGGATTACAAGAAAAGAAAAAGATCATGGATTACAAGAAAAGAAAACAAACATTTCGATCATGGATTACAAAAAATTCTATTATGGGTTACAAAAAACCAAAAAATTCGATCATGGATTACAAAAAACAAAAACAATTCGATCATGGATTACAAAAAAATCGATCAAGTATTACAAAAAAATCTATCATGGATTACCATATAAAAAAATAAAAAATAAAAAAAAATCCGTACGGACTCGCCGATTCACTGTTCGGACTCGTCGATTCCGTACAGTGAATCGGCGAGTCACTGTGCAGAATCGTCCGGTTCTCTCTAGAACCGGACGATTTCCAATTTTTCAACCTATCCGGTCCCTTTTCGCGAATTCCGAGTCGAACCGGGCGAGTCCGGTTCGACTCGGCGTTTTTTAAAACGCTGGCTGATACCAATCTGTGCTTCACAATCTAGGCCAGTCGGTTGGGAAAAACCCATGTTACCCGGGCATGAAGAAAAATCCGATGAGGGTTTATGAGTTAGCCCTTGATGACCGAGAACAATGCCCCGATGAGTGAGCGAAAAGGCTGTGTGACCCTTGTGTGTGATGGTGGCCGACAGAGACAGGGGCTAAAACCTCATCCATGTACCATCACACAACATGTATATCGATAGATCGTTCGGAAAAGCCAGAAATCCACTTTTTAAGGTGAAACGTATGCATGTACGAGATATACCCGTATGCGCCATAGAGCTGTGGTCGCATAAGGTCTTGGTGACCTTGATTTGTTTTTAAGGGAGGACCTGTAATCCACAGACTAGGATTGCGACCCTTGGCTCATCTGTCAGACTTTGGTGACCCGCTAATGAGCCCATGTTTGGACTGTGGGTCATGGGAAACATTGGGTCGGTTCGATAAGGCAAATGTGGTCTGTAGTCCACAGTTGAAGGTGAATTGCCCCATGATTGCAGATTAAATTCCTTAACCATATGGATCTATTTCCCATCAAGTTAATTTAATTATGTTTGTTTTATGATAGAAAATATTTTAGAATTTTTATTTGAATTTTTATTAATCATTTAATATTTTATTTATAATTTTTTTGGACTTATAAAAATGAAGATATTGATTTTACAAAATTATAAAATTCAAATAATATTTTAGAATTTTTTTGATAATTTAAAATTATATAAAATATCATGGAGGGGCCCATAGTGTACATGGGCCCACCATGTGTCAAGTGGG